ATTCTTCTCTTCACTGGTCCTTACCCTCTGGCTCTTGCATGGCTCCATGTCAGGGCACAGAGTACTTGGTTGCTCCAGCACCAGCCTGGCCATGCAGCAGCTGGCCATGAAGCAGCTCTCATCACCGCCATATGCCCAGGCTGAGGTTGGAGCAACCATGTGCTCTGTGCCCCAGGCTGGAGCCCTGCTGGAGTTGGAAGGTAAATGGCAGTGACAGCAGGAGAAGGCAGAGGTGGTGGCAAGGTGGCAGCAGTAGGGGGTAGAGGATGCAGGTGGGAGGGTGAGAAGTGGCTGTGGCTCCAAACCTGACCCCAAGTCAGAGCCAGAGATGCAGCAGCTGTGTGCCCTCTCTTTCCAGCCACATTTTACTTAAATCCAAGACAGGACCTGTTTCCTCCCTTTGCTAAATAGAGGGAGGAAAAACTTGTCTTGGATTTGAGTAGATGTAATACTACAGGTTCTGGCCATATACAGACATTCAGTTTCTTTTGGGAGAGGCACTGCTCTCTCACTAGTAACCATGAGTGCACAGATATTTAGGATTTTTCTCCCAGAAGTAAACAACTGCTCTAGGGCTAGACTGAACATGTAGCCTTCCACTAATAACATAATTTTGCAGAAGTTTACGGGAGTGCACCTGCATACCTTTTGTGTATTGGGCCCTGAAGCATATATAAAGCTCTTCAACTTTAAGTAGTTTTGACCCACTAGCTTATTATCACAGTTGTTTTAGCACCTTTAACAGACAAGGTCACTAGTTTCAAAGACCAAGAATCATGAGGGAGAAAAACACTAGGAAGGCTGAGTATTGTTTACAGACAGGTAGGCTGCATTTTTACTCAGTACAACACTATGTCATAAACATGGAAAATAAAAGCTATAATAGCAATTTTTCATGTGAACACATGCTTTTACATTAAATAAAGTATTATAAGTGACAAGAGTACAGCTAAGCCTAAATGAAAGCTCTCTCTCCATAACATACTTGTGCACACAATTCTTAAGTTTGTTTAAGGCTTTACTCGCCTCATAAGAGCCTTATGAGCAGGGAGCAGGGTTTTCCATTTGCTGTGGAAAAACCATGGATTGCTTTCCTTTAAAAGGAGAAAAACATGGAAAACCACAGCTTTCCACTTGCAGGCTGGCAGAGTTCCAGCCTGCAATGGACTGCTTGGGGTGGTGGGAGTGGAAGGAGGCTGATTGGACATAGAGGGCGCAACATGCACGTGTGCATGGCAGCATGGCTGGCAATACAGCCCCAGGCAGTGGTGAAGAGCAGCTCCCCCAGCTGCCTGCAGGTAAGTCTATGGGGGGGGGGGCA